GTTTAGGGTTTAGGGTTTAATAGGGAGTTTGATATATTCTCCTTCATATACACTAAGGAACTTATTGGGAACAAACAAGCCCGAAAGGCTCGTCAAAACTGTCAAAACTATTCGTAGAACAGCACAACTTGGGCTTTGGGGGTTTGGGGTTTAGGAAGATCCTAAACCATTTTAAACCCTGAACCCTAAACCCTCAATGCCAGGCCATGCTTCGGTGGACGCTTCAGAGTTTGAGCTCTCGCTTCGCGCTGGGATGGGAAGCGACAGGTCAAGGTCATCGACCTTGAATGATTTACGTTTAATTTAGGCTTTAGGGCTTTGGCGGTGCGGGGTTTTAGAGTGCCGAGTAAGATTGGTTTCTTGTCGCTTTTGCAAATCCTAGATCTTGACCCCAATCCCAGGAGAAAAGATTGAGTTCATCGGCAAAGCCGGAAAGGATTAAGCTTAAGCCTTGATCCGTGAGTCCCCATCCCTGCCTGTACGTTCTTGTGGGGGTTCGCAAGGTTCATTTTTGGACAACAACTCTGCAGTCGAAACACGTTTCTCGGACGGGGGGCTTGGAAACCCTAAACCCTAAACCCTAAACCTTATACCGTAATTTCGGCACTTGGGCTAGAAGCCGAGTAATTAAACACACTCAAGCGAAGCGCAAACCCTAAAACCCTGAAGCCCTAAACCTAAAACCCAAAACCTATACCATCAATTATCATTGTCGGAAGCCTGAACCCCAGCACTCCGTGTTATTTATCGTTGCGTAGGGCTCTGTCCTAGGACGTTCGGGCTGTTGACGTAAGTTTGAAAGCTTAGAGATGTAGTTTCAGGGTGTAGGGTTTGGGGATCGGGGCTTAGGGTGTAGGGTTTAGAGTTTGACTGTAGACTTTTTCGAAATTACTGTAAGTGAGGGCTTAGAACCGAGGCCTTAGGGCGAAAAGTCCTCTACACGAGCCGTGCTGCTATCTTTGCATGGTTGGCAGAATGGCTTCTGACTGTGGTAAGACCCACATCATTGATCTTGGAGGGTGTTTCTAATACACATCTTAATCTTCAGGATTCTTCAGGGGTTAGCATACTCAAACTAAAACACAGCGAGCACCCATAAAGGAACCGTGATAGGAATGCTGAAGCCAAAACCCGAAAGGCTCAGAAACACTGATTTACCATTTAGGGTTTAGAGGGTTCAGGGGGTTTAGGTCAGGGCAGGTTAGGGTTACAGGGTTCAGGGGGCGCAGTTTGGGGCTTCGCGGTTAAAGGTTTGGGCTTTAACGGGTTTAGAGTTTAGGGTCAGTGTGTTCGGTTCTCGACTCTGAATCCAGATTCGAGCCAAATAAACTGACCTGGAAGTGAGCCGAAGAATTGCATGGAATCTAAGAGACCAACGAACATGTAAAAAGCCCGAGAAATGCCAGGAAAACCCTGAAGTTCCTGAAGGTGCGACTACGATGATGAGGACGACGAGGAAAACGACGATCACGACGATTTCCGACGACGTCGACCTCGACTACAACTACGACTCCTACTACTGCTACCTGCTACTGTACCTGCTACCTGCTACTGCTACTACGGGTGCAGACGGGTGCAGGACGTAACCGAAACCTGGAAACGGTGTAACCGAAACCCCGTTGCAGGAACCCAGGGCGATGTAACCGAAACTCCGCCGAAATGTATCGGCAACTGCGGCCCGTGGTGACAGGAACCAAAAAGGCATGCAACAGCAACCTGGATGCTTGTCGACGTTGCATAGTCACTAATGGAGCGCTACAGTAACCGATGGAGCCTGCCTTCGCACATGGCGGAGTTTTTATTCCCCTGTGCAATATGAAGCTCTGTGCCGCAGCGGTCGGTCCAGTCTCCGCGTCGGTCCTGGCCGCTTTGTGGTTGTTATGTCGCACCGCTTGGTGCTCGGCGGACCCTGCTGGAAACTCCTCTATGTCCGTTCTTTTGAAGCAGGATGCTGAGTTCAAGTAACGGCCCAAAAGAACAGGGCCTGGAACGATCGTGCTTGCCTGAAAAGGAGCCTTGAAACCCCTGATGTCGCACCGCTTGGTTCTCGGCGGACCCTGCTGGAACCTCCCTTAAATCCGTTCTTTTGAAGCAGGATGCTGAGTTCAAGTAACGGCCCAAAAGAACAGGCCTGGAACCCCTGTGTTTGCCTGGAAAGGAGCCGGGAAATCCCTGGCAGAACCCGCTGAAGGCTGCAAAGACGTGCAAACAAGCAAGTCGGGCAATTCACGGGCCAGAAGAAGGCTGCAAACGTGGAAGCCCAACAAACCCTGTGGCGAAAACTACAACCCCACCTCACATCCTCCTGGAGTGCCGCGCGGCAGCCGGTCGGCGCTGACAGCACATGGTCGCAAAGCAGCTTGGATTCCGACTGAAGTCCCACCCTATTCTTGTCAACTGGACCCTGGCGGAAACCCAAAACGTCCGTTGTTGTGGAACTGGGACGCATCGGCCGGCGGATTTCCTCTCGGTGTCATTGCGGTCATTGCGCCGTGCGGACTAAGGCACGAGCAGTGGAGGCCGCATCTCTGCAACAAGCCGCTATGGCATGTGCATGAATACAAATTAAGTTGCTGGCGAGCCGAGGCCAAAATGGTGCAAACTTCTGCCAACACGCCACAAACCGCTATATGGCACGTGCACGAATTAAACGTTGCTGGCGAGCCGAGGCCAAAATGGAGCAAACTTCCAGCAACACACACGGGACTGGGAAATGCCGAGTCTAGCAGCAATCACGGGGAAATGCTGGGCATAGCAGGAACGATCATGTATGCCATTGCATGCATCTCTCTCGTTCAAGGAAGAGTATGTATTTCCCCTGCCACAAATCAGCTCCCTATGCTGCTGACTGACCTCGGACAGCGGCCTTCCACATTTCCATCTGAACTGCAAGCTGCCGCCGGAGGACAACGGAGACTTTCGTGTCCTTCGTCATTTTGGCGAAAAGTACACCCAATCCATGCGTCTTGGCCTCCGCAGGCGTGGTTTGAAGTTCTTGGACGACATGGAAGCCCTCGACATTCTTGGTAAAGGACGTGCTTCGCAACCCCTTCGTCGCTTCCGCGAGGCGCACGGACCGATCCGATGAAGGCCGGGCTGCGAGCTGGGCCGAACTCTGCCCCGACTTCTTCTGCGGAGCATCCAATGCCTGGGCCTGCGCCCTCCGACGTCTGGTGGTCTCCGAAGCCCTGGCTTCCATGTCTTCGCGGCTCCTCCAAGCGCTGCTGCTGCCACGAGCGACATTCACGGGACGGCCTGTGGAGGGCCTCATGCTCTCCACAGACTCCGGCAATATCTTTGTCGTGAAGTGACGCAGCCGCTGCAGCGGGAGCTGCGGATCGCGGTGCCCGGATGTACCCTTCGTGCGAGCACTGGCAATCTTTGCAGAAGTTTCCGCAACTGCATCTGACACAGCCAGCCGGAAACACAGCTGCATCATCTCGGCGCAGCAGTGCCACCAAGCACAAGCTACGCAGCGTGTGCTTCAAGGCACCGAGCGAGAGCCGCGCAGCATCGTGGTGCCAGCATCCCAACGCCTCGAGAGCGATGCACACCTCGTCCACGGAATTGCCATGCAGCAGAGCGAGCATTGGCTCAAAAGAACTCATGGGATTGTGCCACCACCCCGAACATACATGAGAAGCAGCCCTGCCTGATCCACGGCCATGGCGGGGTCCTTGCACGGGAGGATGTAAATCCGCTCCACGTTCTCGAAGGACAGAATGTCGAAGTTCCGGAACGCATAGTTCCTTGGCGCGTGCCTGACATAGCTTTGCACAGATGGGCATCGGTGTGGCACACCATCATCGTCCCTCTCCCCAAAGCCTTCGAAAACCAGTGTGCTGCTGCAGGTGGCGGGGTAGCACTGGAAGTGATCTCTCGTGTCGACAATGCTGTTGTCGACACACAGCCCGGCCTGAGTGTACTTGGCCTTCAGCGCCTTCTCCAACTCGCGCGCAGCGTTGCTGCAGGACATCAGGCCAATGTTGACCGGCAAGATGCGCTTGAGGCCTGCCCACCAGGACTCGATGGCCTGTCCGGCCGTGCTCGTCGTGGCACCAGGACGAGAGGATCCTTGGCTTGCGTCGCCCACCGACCAGAGACCGGGACCCACGACGTCTTTCACAAGCACGTACTTGTCGATGTACTCGATCCACTCCGTCTCATCCATCTCCCTCGACCTGGCGAAGAGTGCCTCTTAGCAGAGGTCACCCGCAACAACATGAGGTGAGGGAATTAGAGGTCTCCGACTCCGACTTCCACGGCTAACCCTGAAACACTTGCAACCAAGAAGCTGCAAGGCTTGCTGTGGATGACATGGCACACGCGGCACATGCTGGTAGCTAGATGTGACTAAGGCAAGACGCGCAGCACTGATGCGCAACATGGGCCAGTAAAGGACATGCCCCGAACGTGGTACTAGAAGCGAAGTCAGGAAACTAAGTAGCAGTGTGGCAGGACGCAGGAGAATCTGCCTGAATTTTTTAGAGCTGATGGCTGCAGCACTTTTGCGAGCAGATGCCGGGGTTTCGGTTTAGCCCTGGCCTCGGTTAGCGTTACGGCTTCTGTCGGTTTCTATCTCGGCCGGCCTCAAGTTCCCGTGACTGTCCGGGGCGTGGTTCCCGAAACTTTTCTCTGTTACGTCTGGCCGGTGCCCGTAACCACGTTTACTCCTACTGCTACTGCTGCTACGACGACGACTACTACTAGTCCTACTGCGACTTCCACTGCAACTGCAATTGCAACTCCGCGACACTAACATGGCGACGACGATGACGAACGACAATGATGACGATGACGACCAGGACGATGAGGACGACGAGGACGACGATGCCGCTTTACTACGACTATCGCTACAATCCATAATCGCTGTCAGTAGCAGGATCACCATCACGATCATCACCGCCACTACCATGGGCTGTTCAGCGTTTCAAAACGTCGACCGAAGGGCAGAAGTCAGCATCTCGTCCGGCGCGGACACGCTGCGCGGGGCTGTTGGGGCTGGCGGTCGCAGCCCAACCTCCTGCGAAACCGCAACCAAGCATCGACAGGACCCCCCAATGATCTCAGTCGGACCCCGACCCTAACTATACTGTAATTTAATAAGGGCCTATATAACTACCAATGCAATTTTGGTGGTTCCTTGTCATAAATATAATATACCATGCCCCAAGACTCTATTCTAATTGTTCATGCCACCATAGTCTGTCTTCGTCAGGCACCTTCTTCTTCATGATGTTGCGGCGAATCTCACTCCGGTCATGCGCGTAGGTGCAGTCCTGCAATGATGTGCGGTGAGGAACTCTGCCCTTGCGGGTAAGGGTGGGTTTACCCATAGGCCCCTAAGTAGTTCTTTTTTTGTGGTTTATATTTAGAATCCTATCAGGTAATCCCTAAAAGGAACTACTTAGGGGCCTATGGGTAGAGTGTGTTTGACTCCTGTTGTTTGTAAAGTTGGGGTGTAGAGTTTAACGTTAGGGGCTTACGGAAATTGCAGTTCCTTAGAGATCCGCAGCTTTCCCCAACTCTCACGAGTTTGGTACATACCATGAACCCCAGACTTAAACCCTTAACCCCCCACCTAAACTCCAAAACCTGAGAGGCACGGTCTTATTCTAGGGTTTAGGATCGGCTTTCCCTACTGCTTGGTTTCAAACCCCTAAACCCTAAACCCTAGACCCTAAACCCAAGGAGACCCCAAAGTGAAAACGGCAAAAGGGTTCTACAGGGAAGCCTAGAGGAGCTGGGGCTTCCCTTAGCATGTCGGGAGGGTTTAGGGTTGAGGGTGTAGGGGTTTAGGGTCTAGGGTTTAGGGTTTAGGTTTTAGGGGTTAGGGTTGAGGGTTTAGGGCAAGTTTAGGGTGTAGGGTTTTTTTTTAAAGCATGATGGCCCTTTCTCCCGCAACGAGATCTAGAGCCCGCCATAGGCTGGCACATACTGAGGACGGCCCGAAGGCCAAAACAAAGGAGCACTCCCGTACAGACAACTGTGCACTTACAACTGCACGAGGAGCACAGCCAAAAGACACAGCGCGAAGGACAAAGGCTTCACAAGTCACGACTGCGACTACGCTCGCGTGCAGACGACGGGGCCTCCGGCTCAGACCTCTCACGACCAGAAGGCGCAGAGTCACCCAAACGGCGCATCCAGGCAGGATCACGAAGAGCCGGGCGGGCAAGAGCAGGCTGCAGTCGACGACGATGTTGTACGACACCACGGCGGGACTGCGGAGGAAGTCGTGCACCACCAGACGTCTGAGGAACGGGGCGACCAGCATCCGCCTGGAGAAGGTAGAGGTCACAATCACCAGGATCCACGCGAGGGTCATCGCCTGCACTATGTCCAGCAGTAGCCAGTGTAGGAGCAACGGCAGTAACATGTGTCCTCCAGACTCTGCATCGAAGACCTGCAATAGTTCGACCCGACATGCCAGGGAGCGCCTCCTGCAGTGCTGTCAAATCAGCGGGAAGGCCGGGTTGTAGGAGGACCATGGGAGCCGAAGAAGTAGGTAACTCATCCGTGGTGCTCGTCCCAGTGGTTGAGCCCGTCGAGGCGGCATGACTTACAGCCCGCCACACCTGCGCATCCATCGTCGGGGCATTGAAGGGAACGGATTGAGTGGGTACCGGTAGCCATCGCAAAATTTCCTCCAAAGCAAGGGCCAGGTTCTGCTGGTAGCGAAGTAGCAGGCGGGAGCGAGCCAGTAGGCGGTGAAGGACCTCCACTACATCAGCTTCCCCACTCAATGTCATCTCCCTGGCAACCACCCCTCGGACTGACGGCGGGTTTTCAACGGGCACGGTAGTAGAAGTCGTGGAGGTGCTCGATGATGACGTAGTCCAGCAAGTAGACCATCCAGCCTGGGCCTCGAGGATGAGGTCGACGAAGCTGTGCAGGTAGTACTGGTGGGGAGGGGTAGACGAACTCGAAGTGGACACAGCACTGGACAAAGCCGACGGGGAGCTCGAAGTGGGCACAGCACTGGAAGAAGTCGTGGAGGTGCTCGATGACGACGTAGTCCAGCAAGTAGACCATCC